CCTGTGCTTAGTTATTTGTGTGTTGTCTCCCCCACTACACTTAGCTCCTTGAAAGCAGAAGATTTTTTGTTTGTTTTTGCCTTTCTTTGTATTTCTACTGCCTAGCACAGGACTTGGTAAATAGTGGCAATTTAACAAATGCTCATTGACTTGCCTTGTTGATTTATTCAACATTTGTTGAATTGAATCTATTGGGTTTAAATCACTTCTAATCCTTGGCATTTTGGTGAGCATTGCCTGTTCCATCATCCATTGCTATTATGATATCCCAGAATGCCTTTTGGAAAGAGTGAAACAAGCATTTATTATGCAGCAGGCACTGTGCTAAGCACTTTACAAATATTATCTTAGTTGAGCCCTCATAATAACTCTGCAAGGTAGGTGCTATTATTATTCCCATTTCCCAGCTGTAAAAGCTGAGGCAGACAGAGGTTAAATGACATGCCCAGGGTCACACAACTAGTAAGTATCTGAGACCTTCTGACTCCATGGGCAACTAGGTGGCCCGAGAGTGCAGGACCTGCAGTCAGGTAGGCTCATCTTCCTGAGTTCGAATCCAGCCTCAGACACTTACTAGCTGTGTGACCCTGTTTGCCTCAGTTTCCTCATCTGTAAAAATGAACTAGAAAAAGAAATGACAAACCATTCCAGTATCTTCACCCCATATGGGGTCATTAAGAGTCAGACATGACTGAAAATGATTGAACAGCTTCTGGACTCCAGGCCCAGTACTCTCTCTATACTATCTATCTGCCTTTTGTAAATGATACATTTACATGCATGTACACTATTGAACTGTGAAGGCAGGATATAAACATACTACAAAGAAATACATGTACCTAAAGAGTCATGGTTAGTTGATAATGTCTTTCAATTTTGACCACCAAATAACAACTTAAGCTTAATGATGAGAAAAAACTAATCAGTCATTGAATAAAGTCAATGGGAGCTGTGGAAGACTACTGGGAGTGATAAACCATCGCCCTCTATAGTCTCTTCAAGGCATTAGATGTTTCCTTTACGTTTCCCTAAATAAATATTTGTACAAGTGTATGTCTAGAAGTCTCATGCTTTTAATATTGTTCTTTTTATTGATTATAGTTTTCCCAATGGTAACCATAAATTTCTTTTTGCTAGGTTTTGAAAATCAAAAAAGAAAAGCTCATTATCAGGCAAATGTTTTTGAAACAAGATTAACTCACAAGTGGTAGAAGCCAGGAAGTTCAGTAATTATTTGGTCTAGATATACTTTTGTTTGTCCAAGAAGCACAGAATCCCCTGGCAACTGCCCTCATTATGTAGCAATATCATGTTGGTCTACCAGGTTAAAGAATGCCCTCTGAAAGTCAGGGAGATGTTAAGCATTTACAAGTCAGAATTTTTACCCTGGAAGACAAAATACTGTGAGCTCTCTCTCAGCATCAGAAAGCAGCTCTACAACCAATATACTCTTCTGCCAAGGACTGATACCCTTGCCCTTCATATTTAAAGATGCCACTGCAGCTATTTTCTCTGCCAGACTTCCTTTCATCAGCAAAATTTACACTTGAGTTGTTTGAAGGAATAGGGCTTGAATTACACCATCCTTATTATCTCTCCTGGGAAGAGAATGCAACTCAACTTGCATTCAGCTTTTCCCCTTGCCTCCTACATATTCAAAGATTAAAAAAAAAATCGTTCCCTGGTAGTTGGAAAGAATTCATGAAACTTCTACTTTCCTCTAAAGGTATTGTAATAGTTTAGACTATCAAAATATTCAATAATATTCTATTGAAAAAAGCCCACAAGTTCTATGTTGGTCAAGTTGGGGTATTCAATAGTTTATTGTAAGTCAAATAATTGGAGCTGCTAATACTTTTTAAAAAATAATTTTTCAGCCTTTCTTACATTACAATCATCTCTGTATTGAACAAAATTGAACTTTCTCATATACAAAAACAAAACAGTCAAGCAAAAAACAACCAATACAGTGACCACATATGCAACATTCTGCCCTTGAAGTCCTTTGTCTCTCTGCTTTAGAGATAGCTTTTGTTATCCAGGACCAAGTTTAGTTGTTACAATTAGCAGAGTCTGACTACATTTTACTGCTTTTATAATTTGCCTTATTTCAGTCATTATCTTCTTGTTCCACTTACTTTGTTCTGGATCAGTTCACATGAATCTTCTCATTCTTCTCTGACTCCATCATTGCTTAGTACACATTACTATTCCATTGCTTTCACACCCCATAGTTTGTTCATACATTCCTGAATTGATGATCAACCATTATGTCCCCAGTTCTTTGTTACCACAAAGAGTTCTGCTGTAAATATTTTAGTATATATTAGGCATTTCTTTATGTCTTTGATCTTCTTATGTTATATGATCTCTTTTGTGGTAGGTTCAAATAATTAAGTCACTTTTGTCACATCATTCCAGATTGTTTCCTGGGACAGTAGGACCACATAATAACCCTCCCAGCTGTGTACTTGTGTGCCTATTTTTCCAAAGTCTCTCCAACATTGACTTTTTTTATATCTTTGCCAATTTGCTAAAGGTGAGGTGAAGCCTTAAAGTTGCTTTAATTTATTTTTCTCTTACAATGAATGATTGTAACTTAATTTCAGGTGATCATTGCTGCCTTATAATTTTTCTTCTGAAAAGTGATTGTTCAGAGAAGTTAACTGCCTTTTAGGATGATACTAAAAAGTATTTTGTATTTATGAAAACTTGACATATGAATAACCCAAACATACAAATACTTTCTAGGTGAAAATGTGCTCCAAGTTCTAAGTAGCTGAATACAATCAAACTTTTGTAATGCAATCTGTTATAGTATCTTCTTCATGGAGTCTCCCCCACACCAAAAACAAAACAAAACAAAACAAAAAAAACCAGTTCAAACTCACAGTCTGCTTTTCTTGGTTTAGTGGCTGTGACCTGAGATCAAAAGGTGTAGTCTGTGGCTATGCACTCCTAAAATAGTAGCTCATAAGCCCCCACCATTGAATTTACCTTTAAAAAACAATAGGCCTGAAGTCAGGAGGACCTGAGTTCAAATCCAGACTCAGACCAAACACTTGACATTTACTAGCTGTGTGACCCTGGGCAAGTCACTTAACCCCAATTGACTTAAAAAATAAGTAAATAAAAGACAATGAGTAGACAAACAGCTCAAAGCAAAGGCAATTTCTAAGATAGCATAGTTAGAACAATAGCTTCAAAAACCCCTCTTCTTACACCTAGAGTACATTTTCCCACAAATACACTAAGCATCTGTGTGAGTCTGTGGTATAGAGGCACACACGTAGGAAACACTTGTGGCTAGGGTCATTCGTACTTTTGGTACACACATTCTTTTTTTTTCTCATGGAGTCCTCCTACTGTTCCCTTCTCAGTCCAGCATCTTTGCTGGGAAGGTCACCTAGGTAAATTCCCTGAGCCTGCTCCTCTCTATCACTCCATTGCCAGGGCTAGTTCTCTCTTGAACATATAGTCAGCTCTGAAATTATTTTCTGTTTTGAATTCTACTCTCCTCTGTGTTTGTGACTCCATGGAGAATGTGAGTCTCTGCTTCCTATTGGAAATATTTTAACTGTGCCTCAAACTCTTTCGAACTGACAAGCTCTGAAATTGTTCTACTGTATTTTAAGGGTCACTTGGTCCATGGCCAATCTTTTGCTTATAATTTAATCAAGGAGTCTTTTCAGATTTTGTAAAAGGGATGCACATGTCCTATCAGTCAATAAATCTTCCTTCCACAGATTTTTTTTCCTCCACAGTAATTCTCATAACCTTTTTCTCAACTCACACACCAACTACTCCCCACACTCAGTTCAGTCCCTCATCATCACCTTCTTAGATTATAGGAATGGCCTCCTAATTGGTCTCCTTGCCTTAAACCTCTCCACTCTCCAAATAATAGTCCTTATACCTGCTAAAGTGATTTTCCTAAAGTGCAGCTCTGTCCATATCATTCTTTCTTTACTCAATAAACTCCAATGACTCTATGGCCACTAGGAACATCCTCTGTTTAGTTATTTTATTTAATTTTATTTGGTCTGGGCTCCAAATACCTTTCTAACCTTTTTATGCATCACCTCCTACCCTCTAGTGGGCACTTAATAAATGTTTATTAATTAATTAGTTGAACATAGTATTCCTGAATTTCTGGATGGATTTGACCAAATCTCTTATGCTTTCCTTATCTTTTGTGGAAAGATGCAGAGATGTGGACTAAATATAGAAAAGTTAGTTGGATTTGGAATTAATAAATTCTTTAGACCAATGCTCTTTCCACTACACAAATGTATACCTCTCACTTATCTTTTCTTAGATGGGCCTTTCATTTCCTTGGTGCAGGGACCCCCTTTATAGGTGTATAATATAACTACTTTCATGGCCAGGCATACAGGAGGGACTGAAGATATAAATTAGGCATCTGCCTGTTTCTAGTTCCTGGGGATAGGAAAAGGGAGACAGAGGGGAAGCAGGACTAGAGAACCACTCTGTACAATCTGGTATTCTGGTATTCTGGAAGCTTAAGCTTTTCAGTGTGTGTTTGCAGTTAAGCTCTTAAAAAAAAATCTACAGCAATTCCACTGCCAAGAGAGAGTAGAGCAAAAGATGGGGAAAAAATTAAAAACAACCGCAAGACCAGGAGGGAAAAGGCTTCATTCAGTAAGGAGAGGAATAGTGGACCACTATGTATTACTCTGTGCACTTTGGCACGGTCCCCTTTGCTTTTGGCCAATTTTTCTGTTTGGAGCGGGAGTCCAGGGATTATTCAATCAACTTCCAGGCAGAGCTGAAAAGAACTAATTGAGCAGCAGAAGCAGTGGTTTTATGTCTGGGTTTGTGCGCGTGTTTGCACAATACTCTTTCCTGTTATGACTGCCGGCCAGTTTGGGTTTGGCCAGTTGGGGGTCTTGGAATGAGGAGGGTGGATGGGTGGGATCGCGTGTGTAAGTCTATTTGTTCTCCGTCCCCCTTACTAGCACCTCGCTTTGTCCCTGCAGCTGAATCGGCAAGCGTTGCGGCGAGATGGGTTCTACCTCCTCCAGCTCCCAGTTCACCTCCAGCCGAGCGCTAGCTCTGGCTGCCCTGGCGCTCGTCCTACTGCTGTGCCTGGGGCCAAGTGAGTGAGACCTTTGCGTGGTATGGCGCTGTCCGGGGCTGAGAAGCGGAGGGACTTGGGAGGGCCAGAGGAAGTTCCTGGTAGCACTGCACTTGGCCTTGCCACGAGGAGAGCTGCCTGTGCTAGGGACATGGGATGGGATGGGATGGGATGGGATGGGATGGGATGGGATGGGATGGATGGGATGGAGTGGGGAGAGGAAAAGATAGTCAAGAAGAAAGCCAGCCTACATTACGCCTGCAGTGGGGAGGGAGAGAGGATGGAAAGCTCTTGGAACTTAAGGATGAAGAGAAAGAAGGCAACAGCTGCTGCAAGTGGGTCTAGGTTAGATAAGCAGGTGCTTTAGTGAAAAGATCTGTGAAAGAAATGTGAGTTCGAGCCTTAGTGCTCATTCATTGTTGTGTATGACCACATACTTCCGACCCTTTTCTCTTCTGGGTGTAAGAGGGAGGTGGTAGAGTGGATTGAGGGTCCACTTCTGAATCAGAAAGAGCTGAGTTTGAGATCTGCCTCAGACTCTTGCTGGTTGGGTGACCCTGGGCAAGTCACTTAACTTCTCAGTGCTCTTAGATAACTATCTAAAATGGCAAATTGCAGAGCAGGAGTTCTCAACATAGGTGAAATTGCAGGTCCACACCCCACTCCCAGAATGCCCCAATGGGTCATTGTGAGGAAAGTTCTCTGTAAACCTCAAGAAAGTGAGGGAAAGTGGATGGAAATTCTGAGTCTTCTAATAGACAGAAAGGGCCTCCTTGATGAGGAAGATAAGGGACCGATTAGAAGTCCATTTTAGGTTTTCAGGTGTATATGCTCAAGAGCAGGTGGAGATGCTGAGAATTGCTCCCTATTTGGGCACTTCCCATTCTTCCCCTCCTCTTTTTACACTACCTGCCCCTAGAGAATTTTGTCATTAAGTGACAGGGTGACAGGGGAAGTAAAATGACATCATCTTTGGGGTTCCCCAATTCTTTTGTCATAAAAAATTTTACTTTTGTGGTACAGGTTAGTAGCAGCCCAAGTTTGAGGTTTACAAGGGCCTTTTGAGAGTCATTTTACTCTTCATTCTGCCTAGTCAAGGAAAGAGGCAATGGAAATACCATTTGGTAATTAGCAAGGCAGTGGACAGTACAAGCTTAGTCTGAACTTAAGATCTGCATTCCTAATGGGGAAGACGAGTGAGAATCTATTCACATTCTGTTTGAACCCAGTAGGCAAAACTAAGATCAATAGGTAGGGCAGAGAAGTAAATTTCAGCTCCTTGTCAGGAAAAACTTCCTATCAATTAGGAAGTAGAATGTACTACCTTGGTAGACAGTGAGCTCTCCATCACTAAAAGTTTTCTGACAGGTGCTGCTTAACAGCATCTTGTGGATGGTGTTCCTGTTTGAGTAACATTAGATTTCTTTACAAGTTCCTTCCTACTTTGAGATTTTGTACATAGGACCATAGCTCTGGAGCTGGGAGTGACTTCAGAGGTTTTTCTGGTCTAATGACTTCATTTTTCAGTGAGAGAAACTAAGGCCCAGGGAGATGAGATGACTTACCTACAGTCAGGTATTAATTGTCAGAGGTAGGATTTGAACTCAGGATCCCTGATTCCATAACTCATGCTCATTTCACTACGTAACATGCTTGTGAAAGTTCATGAGATGGGTTGGAGACACTTGGACTAAAACAAGGTTGTGAGGACACACAGGGTTATTAATATTTGAATTTCCATCATATGGTTGGCCTCCCTGACTTTTAAAAAGAGGCTAGTTAGATTGAACATTACCTATGAGTTGTTATTTTCTTTAGTTATTTGTTAAGTTAGTGCAAAGAATTCAGTATTTTGTAATGAAATGTTCATATATATATAAATTCAAAAGGTCTATCTTATATTTCCCAGAAATGTTTGGAAGCATTTACATTTATATGTACATATATACCCACACTTGAATAATGTACTAATACAATTAATATTCATTTATCACCAAGAAGTAAATTTGAACTGCTTGGGAGATTCAATGCCAATAAAGATGACAGTGCTTTAGTGTCCTACTTCAATAATGTTGTTGTTCAGCTATGTCTGACTCTTTCTGTCCCATCTTCCTCAGTTGTCGAGTCGTTTTTTAGTTTTGTCCCACTCTTCTTGATGCTGTTTGGGGTTTTCTTGGCAAAGATACTGGAGTGATTTGCCATTTCCTTCTCCAGCTCATTTTACAGATGAAGAAACTGAGGCAAACAGGGTTAAGTGACTTGCCCAGGGTCACTAGAGTCTAAGGCTAGATTTGAACTCAAGAAGATGAGTCTTCTTGACTCCTGGCCCTGTAATCTATCCACTATGCCACCTAGCTTCCACCTCCCTCAGTGATATTAACTAGTAATGTTGACAGGGGAAATCTATGATATAGATTTCATTATGACAAATGTAGTTCAATTCTAATTACCTGTGATAATATTTTATAGCTCATTTTGCACTGATTGAAGTGAGAGCAAAGATAGTAACTGTCCACTTGAGAACTTGGGATTTAAACTGATTATAGAATTTAGAACTAGATCTTTACAGATCACTGAATCAAGAAGACCTTAACCATCAGGGCGGCTAGGTGGCGCAGTGGATAGAGCACTGGCCCTGAAGTCAGGAGGACCTGAGTTCAAATCCGACCTCAGACCAAACACTTGACACTTGCTAGCTGTGTGACCCTAGGCAAGTCACTTAACCCCAATTGCCTAAAAAAAAAAGACTCTCTCTCTCTCTCTCTCTCTCTCTCTATATATATATATATATATATATATATACATACACATATATATGTGTGTGTTATAGTTGTAGACAAATATATCTTTGTGTGTATTAAACAAAGTAAAGTAAATAGAGTTATAAAAATAAATTATATTGAAATAGTTATTAAAATATATGATTTATATATGTATAAACTTTGGTATATTTAAATATAAATGTATATACATTATACATGTATGAATAATGTATTGTGTATATTATATACATGTATTTATGCATATACATAACATAAAGTAAATATAATTATAAAGGAAGCCAGTTATATTGAAATGGTTATTTAAAATACATAATTTTATGTATACAAGTTTGTATATATATAATTTCTCTATGTATCTATAAATAACAAGTAAATATAATTATAAAGTAAATAAGTATATCAAAATATATAAAAGATATACATTATATGTGTGTGTATTTATACATATGTGTATATGTACTCAGTAACAGAGCTAAAATGTGACCCAAAGCTAACCCCCAGTCCAGTGCTTTTTTCAGTACTTAGGTTGTTTTGTTTGGCAGGCAATTCTATGTTAATTTTAAGAAAGTACAACCTAATCAGTCCCTAAAACCAGTTCAAATTTGAAAATCAAAACTATGTCTTATTCTTTAATCTTTAAAAGTTTTATACAAGAAGTGAACAGTACCTGGGGCCATCTAATCTTGTATATACGGCGACCCAGGAGTTATGAATATTATCTGTTAAGTGACAAACTGATGGACTGTCATGTGGATGATTTGAGAGCAAGACTGTGTGGACTTGGTCAAACATTTCAAAGTAAATTACAGTACCAGTCCTCTAAATGTTTTCTTGGATATCATTCTGTCAAGCCAGGCCTGTTATTTCTTAACAAAATGTTCCCAGTCCCTAGAAACACCTTCAGAACTGAGCTAATTCTGGCAATCAATACTGCAATCAATGTTTTGTTGGAGCTATCCTAGCTTGTCTCAGGATAGGCAAACTTGATAACATTTTTAGTGACCTCAAAACAATGGTTTTCCCCAATTTTATCTCCCTTGTCATTTTATTTGAATACTATTTGACCATAAGGTAAACGTACAAAATATGTTACATCAGTGGTATAGTGGACAGAGTGATAGGTTTGGAGTCTGACCTCCCTCAGATATCAGCATGACTGTAGGCAAGTTACTCACCCTCTCTCAGACTCAGTTTCTTTATTTGTAGCATGAGGGGATTGGACTTAATTGTCTCTAAGTTTTAAATCTCTGACACAAGAAAAGATCAGACAGAATGATATGCTACAGGAAATTAGAAGAACAAACTTTGTTAAAAAAAATTCTAGAAAACTTGGGAGAAAAAAAATTCAGTTTGTCATTTCAATGAAAGAAAGCGGGGGAAGGTACCACCTGGAGAAAAATTCATGAAAATATCCTGATCCATAATAAGATGCCACTCTATTCTGCCTTAAATGACCCTTGTCATTGGTATACTCCTGTTGGGAAACATTTGCTCCTTGCTGCTCTTCTGTGTAGAAGGGATTGGGAAGAGAATTCTTTTCACAGAATCTCAGTTGGAACAGCTCTTAAAAGACTTCAAATTTAACCTTTTCCTGTATGGGACCCTCCTCTACAAAATCCATGATGAGTAGTCATTGGATCTCCATTTAAAGGCTTTTGGTAAAAAGTGCCTCCTGAGGTAGCCCGGTCTCCTTTTTTTGGATTGTTGGGAGGTTTCCCCTGACATTTGGCTTAAAATGGCCTCTTTGAGTCTTCCATCTATTCTCCAGTTCTATCCTCTGGGCACAAACCCAGATCTAACCCACCTTCTTTCTAACAGCCCTTTAGATACTTGAAGATAGCTGTCATTTCTCCCCTAATCATTGTCTAAGCTGAACATCTCCGATTTCCTTAACGGGTCGTTTTGTGAGAGGGTATCCAGTTTCCCGGCCATCCTGGTCTCCCTCTTCTGGAATTACTCTAGTTCAGGGGTGAGCAAGCTGTGGCCTCCAGGCCAGTTCTCAAGTGCGGCCCTTTGACTGAATCGCTTTAATAATTTGTTCTGTAAAACTTGGACTCAGTCAAATGGCTGCAGCCGAGGATCTAGAGGACCACATGTGGCCTGGAGGCCACAGCTTCCCCAACCCCGCTCTACTAGTTAGTTCATCAGTGTCCTTCCCAAAAGTTAGTGCCCAGAATCAAACACAATATCCCATATGCGGTCAGACTAGGGTGGATGACAGCAGAACTGCCAATTCCTTTATATTATATATCACGTCTCTCTTAAAACATTCTAAGTTTGAATTGATCTTTTTTTCTGTCTGTTATACCAAATTGTTGATTCACTATGAGCTGGTTGTTGGTGGTGTTCAGTCATTTCAGTCCTGTCCAACTCTTTTGGGGGGTTTTCTTGGCAAAGATACTGGACTGGTTTGCCACTTCCTTCTCCAGCTCATTTTATAGATGAGGAAACTGAGTCAAATAGGGTTAAGTGACTTGCCCAGGGTCACACAGCCAGTCCGTGTCTGAGGCTAGATTCAAGCTCAGGAAGATGAGTCTTCCTGACTCCAGGCTGGACACTCTCTTCCCTTTGACGCCTAGCTGCCCCCTCTGTTTCCCAAGCTTTGATCTGTGCTTTAGAGGGATTAAAGGAAGCCATGCAACCTTGCAGCTAATCTTTATTTTTCCTCCTTTTAGATGGCACGAGAGGAAACAGACTCAAACTCCTGCTTCAAAAACGAGAAGGTAAATAGACTGAAATTTTCAAGTCTGGTGTTCTGGGAGGGTTTTAAGCGCATTGAAGCAAAGTTGTGGATGCTCTCTCACCCGAAGACGTGCTTTCAAAAAATTCAAAGCCTTTCTGCTTAGCCAGTTTGGAGGTGTGTATGGAGTGTTCTGTTAGCTTAATAAGCTCGCTGATACATTGATAAAGGTTGCTCCTCTAGCAATCTGTCGGTGTGAACTGAGAAAAAAGAAACCACAGTGTTTCAGTGTTAATGGAATTGTGCTTCTTTTTAAAACCATGGGACATTTTAGAGTGTGTCTCTCTGAATGCAAGTATATTTCTGTCTAGTTTATTGTTCTTTGAAGTGCAATAAAATGTCAATCTCATGGAATACTTAGGGAATGCAGCTGTTCTGGTTAATTGAATTTTCTATGAGCTGAAGATTAAATAGAAAACTCTTTTTGTCTTCAACCATTGTTACTGAAAATATTTCTTAAATCATATTGTTTTTAACTGGTAGCAACCTGAGAGATCATCTAGTCTTACCTATTTTAAAAACAATTAAAAAAGAAATAACAGCATTAAACAGCAACATAAACTATACTTGCTTAAGTGGCATTTACCTTTAAATTTCTGTTCATACAGTTTTATTACCTTTTTTTTAAGTCCTTCCTGCCAGGCTTCCACTGATACACTCACTTTCCCTCCTATGTTCGTAGGTAGAGAGTATTCCATTCTTCTGTCTGGTTCTCCTTTTTATTTTTTCTTTGCATTATTTCCAAAGATTTTCCCCCCAGGTCTTCTTTGTATTCCTAATTGTCTGCTTACTTGGTTTAAATATTCTGCTATGTCACAATATATTTAACTACTTCCCTATGGTTGGAAATATACCCTAAAAATGTTATAAAAAATAAGAGCTCAAAGATTCTCTTAACAGTGTTGTATATAATTTTTTAAAAAACCACACTGGAAGCAATCTTGTCTTAAGTGCTTTTATGCCTTGGTAAATACAATATGGTGAAGGATCATTTCATTTTTTATATTCATAGCCTCAGGACCTAGTACAGTTCTTGGAACATTCCAGTAGAAGCTAAATAAGTGCTTATTGATTAATTGATAGTGACATCTTTCTTCTTTCATGCAGTATCTTCCAGTGCCCCTAGACCCAGACACCTGGTTCTGCTATTGTGACCTTGGGAGGGCCACCCACATTCCTGGGCCTGAGTTTCCTTATCTGTAAATTGGGGTTTCACCCAATGAGCCCTGAAGTTGTTCCTTTCAGGCCTAAAATTCTATATTTCTAGGCTTCTGGACATGAATGATCTTTGTCCTATATTACAAATATATGTGTAATGGAGGATTGGCACTTCCCAGGGAAGCAGGGTGGATGATGTCATTTTTGGTGATCTAAATATATGCCAAACCCTTATTATACATTAAAAATTGTAATTTTACATTAAAAGATTTTAATTTTAATTTTTCAGTGCAGTGTTTCCTGGAATATTCTCCTTCCTCACCTCCACATTTTGCAGTCTTCAGTTCCCTTTAAAACTCAGCTCAAGTGTTTTCCATTATAGGAAGCCTGTCTTAATTTCCCCTGCTTATTCATGCTTTCCCCCAGAACAGTGCCTATCAAATTCTTGTTGAATTGGATTGTGTTTTTCCTCTCTTAGAGGAGAAGAAGCTCCTCCTGATTTGCATCCTGGGCAGAAAGATAGGGGCCTACAAAGTACTTGATTAGGCACTATTCCTATTACTGAAAGGTTCCATGCTTGTACTTTAATGGGCTTTTTGTACCCACAAGCTGAATGTAGCTCATTCATGGTGGCAGAAGGCCTGCGGTCAAGCTTCATTGCCTAGGCCCCTAGGATCATTAGTGGAATAGCAGTTCTATCCAGGGATTGGGGAGTTCCTGGACCTTGGAAGCTCTTCAATGACATGTATCCCCCTTACCCTCTCCAATTTGTCCTCCAAAGAAATAGGACTTAATAGACCAACATGTAGAAGCATGTGTAAGTGATAGAGCCATTTGTCATTAATATTGAGGCTATATTTTTCAGTAGGAATGGAGTCGTGAAGGGGATATAATGCATTTTTATATTGATTCAAGGCAGAAAAATCATGTCATGTACTTTGGGGGGATGGGGGGAATTGATCGTTTCAGCATCTGATCCAACCAAGACAGAAGTTTCAGTAGGTGAAAGCAAAGCAAAGGAATTTTTAAGCAACATGAAACGCCAGAAACGCCAGCTGTGGGACCGAAGTCAGCCAGATGTACAGCAGTGGTACCAGCAATTTCTCTATATGGGTTTTGATGAAACTGTATGTATACTTTTTTTTTTAAACCCTGGGATGCTCTGGGGGAAAGGGGAAATGAGGGTCCTGAGGATCTAAAACATGAACTACTTTAGTTTGTGTGTATGTTACTTTTTAAAAAATATGTTTTGATATATTTATAACATATATCATGTATATTATAAACATATCATATATATTTATATATATTAAATATATATTTGATATATTTTTAAAAATTTATATCAGATGTTTTCTGATATCCCTCTCTCCCTATCTTTAGAGTCTTGCCTTGTCCCAGAGAAAACTAGCCAAAATAGGGACTGTCTGACATAATACATGCCATGTTCTGCGCCTATAATCCCCCACCTCTCTCCCCAAATAAGCAAGGTGTGTGAATGTGTGTGTGTGTGTGTGTGTGTGTGTGTGTGTGTGTGTGTGTGTGTTTTACATTTGTCCTCTGGAACTAATATTGGCTATTGCCTTTAACTTAAGTTCTACAAATCACTCATCTCCAACAATATAAGACTCTCAGTTGATGCTTTTAGCCCTGTATTTACTAAATTTGGCAATAGAGTAATATCTTTGTACTGGCCTGCCTAGATCAAGAGACACTGCCTTCCAGCATGTCTGGGAGGAAGGTTTGCTGAGGCATGCACTTAACTTCATTGCCCAGTCTTTCCCTGGATCTCCTGAGAGTATCTGGTGTCATGAGCATGAAAAAGTCTTCCAACCTCACCTCAAAAATGTCCAAAACAACAAAGTTGGATCTATGGAATGTGAGAATGGGGGAGGGGGAGAAAATGATATTTGAAAGAAAACAGGCATTCATTCATAGGGTGATTTCCAGAAATGCTATAGTAAAAGCAAGATCTTTAGTCCATCTACACCTAGTCCAAAGCCATAGTTGAAAGATTCCCTGGGATAACAGACAGACAGACAGACAGATAGATAGATAGATAGATAGATAGATAGATAGATAGATAGATAGATAGATAGATAGATAGATAATATTTGCCTCATGCATAGAAAATAAATACATGGTATTTTAGAACTTCTATTTTATTTAGAACCTCTATTTTAGAACTTTTCTTTAGAATAATTGTAGCAGGGAAACGTTAGAGATATGTTAAAATCTTGGATCCTCCTGGCTCCTGGAATGTTTTTGCAGAGAATGAATTGGCAAAAATAAAATCAGCATCATTAGAGTTGTGTATATTATACCCGGGATCGAAAACACTGTTAGGTTTGCAGGGGAGGTCTTCATAGGAAAAACTCTACCTCATGCCAGTAGAAGGTGGAGGGAGAGTGAGAAGAGTCATGGAACTGAATGCCCTTTGCCTCCAATGAGCATTTCAGGGGTGGCCTCTCTGAGTGGGGCCACTGGAAATATTCAGTAGGAGAACTCAGAATCTGACTCCCATTTTGGAGTAGGTGGTACAACATAAGTACTCAGTAGGAATGATGAAAAAAATGTATTTTAAAGCTAAATTCCAACCTAAGCCTAGGAATGAGAAAAACAAGGAATGGGATTAAATTTAAATGAGGATATAAAAGACAATTGTAAAAAAAAAAAGTTAACAAAAAAGAGAAGACCAGGACATCTTAAAGAGTGAGAGGTAGACTTACCTCATTGTCACACTTATTTTTCTTCATGAGTACTTTGGACCCAAACTGGAATACAGCAAAGGTAACTGAGGATAGTGAAGTGGTACAGGAGCAGCTAGGTGATATAGTGGATACAGCATTATGCCTGGAGTCAGGAAGACCTGAGTTCAAATCTGGCCTCAGACACTTTGTAGCTGTATAACCCTGGGCAAGTCACTTAATCCTGTTTGCCTCAGTTTCTTCATCTGTAAAATGAACTGGAGAAGGAAATGGCAAACCATTTCAGTATCTTTGTTGAGAACACCCCAAATGGGATCACGAAGAGTTGGACATGACTGAAAAACCATTCAGCAACAACCACGCAAGATGGGACTGAGGAGAGAGCTACACCTCTAGTACATCCCTTTCAGGCACTCCCAAAAAGGCCACAAAGAAAGCAATATCCAAAGAGCTCACATTTACATAGGTTTTGAAAAGCACAGAATGGTACAGTAGAAGGAATATCAGAATTAATATAGGAGAATTGGGGTTCGCATTCCAGCTCTGCCACTGTTACTTGGGGTCAGTCATAATCTCTTTGAGCCTTAATCTCCTCATCTGTAAAACAGAAGGGTTGGACCATGTGGCTTTTAAAGCCCTTTGCAGCTCATATCTATGATTCTATTATCAAGCTCCTAGAGAAATATACCTGATGTCCTTTATATAATTTCTATAATCTCTTTCAAGACCCACATCCTCTAGTGACCTAAAATACTATAAAGATATGCTATACCTATAATGATAGGTTTGATTTTCTATAATACATGTAACCTATTTGTTGTTGTTGTTCAATTGTTTCAGTTTTGTCTGACTCTCTGGGACCCCATTTGGGGTTTTCTTAGCAAAGATACTGGAGCGGTTTGCCATTTCCTTCTCCAGCTCATTTTACAGATGAAAAATTGAGGCAAACAGGGTTAAGTGACTTGCCCAGCTAGTGCCCACTGTGCCCAGTGTCACACACCTAGCAAGTGTCTGAGGCCAGATCTGAATGCCTCAGAAATATGAGTCTTCCTGACACCAGGTCTGGCACTGTAATCCACTGTACCACCTAGCTACCCCAAACCAATACCACAGTTCCATTGCTTATTTATATGCTATTTTTACTTCAATTCAAGAAAGATTCTTCAAGCTCCTATTGTATACAAGGTGCTATGCTAGGTGCTGGTAAATGCAAAAATAAGAAAAATGGTCCCTGAACTTGAGAAATTTACACTTGAGTGAGAAGGATAAGACAAGGGGACACATAGCTATATGACAAGGCAGAATGATGAATGTCAGAGAGAGGCTCAGAGTGCCACAGAATTTTTAGGAACAAGAATTCATATTGATTTAAAGAATCCAGGAGAGTTTCGTGAAATATGTGGTATTTGACTTAAGTCTTGATGGATGAATTGGATTTCAATAGGTAGAGATAAAAGTTGCTCCTCTTCTAAGCAAAAGAAGGAATGTAAGCAAAAGCATTTAGGTGAGAAAGTTATCAGGACTTACTTGAAAAACAATGGATAGAAGTAGAATTTGATGGGAACGCAGGGCAATAGTGAGAAAGATAAAGATAGAAAAGGAGATTTGCACCATGACTGACACATAAGAGTTAAGACTAAGTATAATGGGCAAAGGTTTTTGAACCTAGAATGAACATGATTGGAGCAACACCATAATTCAACAGAAAGAGAATTAAAATGGGATTCACAAGACCTGGATTTTTCCTTGTATTTTTATTCCCAGCACTCAGCAGCCTAGTACATAGTAAGTGCTTAATAAATGCATGTTGACTTGACTTCATCCTATCTCCTGAATTTCACGAGAACCCTAAAACAGTGTTTGTCCATGACAAGTGAAGACTCTTGACAAAATGATGGCAAAGAGCACTTTCACCTGCCTTGCCCTAGCTAGTAAAACATTTGGTGGTCATAGTAAAGTGTTTGACAAAGGGCTTGAAGTTTCAGAATTAGAAGGACCTGGGTTCAAACCCAGCATCTGCCACATATTGGTTGTGTAACCTATGGCCAGTCATTTAGATGTTTAAGGCCCCAGAACCGGGCACTTGCCTACATTGATAGAGAAAATTTACTCTAATATTAATGAACTCCCAGGTCTGTATATTAATAAACAACTACATAAAAAAAGTCAAATCTAACACTGGACTTAAAAAATCAGTGCTCATAACAGATAATTTTAAAAATGCTAAAGTAAATTCCTTTTTATCTGGTTATTATTTACTTCTGAGCAGAAAAATAATGATGTACTTTCAAATATTTTTCATCAGTGCTAGTCTTTAAAATTAAAAAAAATTAAAAGACTTCATTTGGAGAAAGTGCCTGGGAGAAAATCATTAAATTTGGTGGGGGATAGCTTTTTGAGGGGAAAGGAATTGGAGGGGGCACTTATGTTACCTCGATTCAATATTCTTGCTATTCTTTTTGATTCAGAAATTTGAAGATGATGTTACTTATTGGATAAACAGAGGTCGGGATGGCCATGACTACTATGGAGGTTACTACCAACGTCATTATGATGAAGATGCAGCCATTGGACCTCGGCATCCCCACGGTTTCAGGCACGGAGCCAGCGTCAACTATGATGATTACTGAGTGCCTTTTCTGATGCTCTGGATAAGGCACTTTGTTTTGTTTTTAAATTTATCTCATAGGGTTGTTGTGAGGATCAGAGGCAATAATGTGTATGTAAAGCACTTTGCAAACCATAAGCACCATATAAATGTGAGCTGTTATTATTCCTGTTTTACTAGTGTGTTTTGAAAAGATTTTTGTTATAATCACTGCCAAACCAAAAAAAAAAAAAGATCTCGTCCATGTCTTCCTATAAGTTCAATATGAGTGGGTCCACTCCACATACTGGAGAACTTCCTCATTTTTTCCTGTCATTGGGAGGAAGAAATGAGATTATGCAAGGTCTAAACAGTTTAATTAAAAAAAACAACACAGCAACCATCAAGGATGGTACAGAGGATGCTAAAAGTCTTCGGGCAGTATCTTAAGACTGCCCGAAGACTTTTGAGACACCCTGTGTATTAATTTTTAAGAAATAACACTAGTATTTTATTTGTTTCTGTGTCCCTATTTCTTGTGTATATCTTTTAATCATATTTTGTTGCTTCTTTTTAAAAAAATATAATCATAGTCAGCAAGTATATTGTTGTTCTGATATTGTATTCTTCATTCTACATCTCTTTCTATAGATCTTTCCATGTTTGCAGTCTTATATTTGTCACTTCTGAATGACACAATAATCCATTCTGATGTATTTTCTATCTCATGCTATATTTCTGTTTTATTTTAATCCGTGTATGTCTTTCTCTTTATGACTCTAATGCAATTGCTAAAGAACAATCAAAATGTCATCCGAAGTTTGATGTAGGTATGTATTGATATATTACATCTTATACTCAAAATAAACTTTTGTTTAAAAATGCTTTTTGCTGCTTTCACTTGGTTAAAAATCAAGTTTATTTCAATATCAATTACTTTGTCATTAATGCATTTAATATTTCAGAAGTTTGAGAGATGGCCGTGGGACACGACAGCAACAGGCCAAGATTCTTTTGTTAGCATTCTATCATGTTGTTAGGATTTCCCACATATGCTACCAAACCTTCAACATAATACATTACACGTCAGGTGTTGTATGGGAAGAGCCTTCACTTTAAAATCCAGACGATGCTATTTTTTCTATGCTAGATAGAATAAATGAATACTGTCCTAAGTGCTGAAGATACAAATTAAAAAGAAAACTCCCTCCTCTCGAGAAGAGGACATCTACTTTTTTTATTTTTAAGGCAGTTGGGGTTAAGTGACTTGCCCAGGGTCACACAGCTTGTAAGTATCAAATGATTGGTCTGAGTCCGGATTTGAACTCAGGTCCTCCTGACTTCAGGGCCAGTGCTCCATCCACTGCACCACTTAGCTGCCCCTGTTTACCTTTCTAATGAAGGAAGTAACATATATAGGAGCGTGGTGGCTACGGAGGGGCTCTTTGTTCAATAATGTTTCTGGGATAGTGAGTGAGGGCACAGGGAAATAGATTGACAAGAATAAGAGCAAAATTGATTTGATCATCGTTCATGGCTCTACACCTGGAGGACATTAGGGAGGAAAGAGTACCTTTGATTGGCAGTTGGTTGAGGAAGCTATGGAAGAGTTGGCCAGAGAGGACAAAGTAGTATTTGTAGTATTCTATCAGTGGATTGGCACCCTGGAATGGAAGTTTCTCCAGTTTGTGGTCTCTCTGTGGGTTGAGAAGTTGACTGTGGAGGAAATAGTTGGACAGCAAGGGGAGTGTTCTGCAAAGCTGAGTCTAATCGCTAATGAAAAGATGGACATTTCACAAAAGGGAGACATTCCTAAAATGTTTCTCCTCATTGCTCTGCTACCTCTCTAATCTGGCTTCTCCCGACTGGAAACATCTGTGAGTTTTTCCTGGAATGATGCTTTTATATAAATGGTCTGAGATGATTCCTTGGTTTTAGGTCTAGACTCACATATAGCCCATGCTAGATATAGAATTAATAAGTCTTAATGGAGAATTAATAGAGGATTAGAAAAGTAGATGTCTGAAGAGTCTCTTTAGTAATCTAATGTCCTTTAAATCTGTGATCTTATAGTTCTCTGATTTGTCACCTAGCAAATAGGGGGAAGGGCAAGAAAATACCACATCCTCAATAATTTTTATAAATAGGTAAGGCAGATGGGGATACTTTTTTCTATATATAACTTCTAACCCAAGAGAAGGGAAACACTGATCTAGGATTATATGAGAATAAAAACCAGTCTAATTTAGTTTTCATTTTTTAACGGAGACATATAAAAGGCTAAACTAAATTTTGAAAGTAAGAATTGGGAACAAACTGTATTTAATACATATGTATATATGTATTTGTGTATACATCTATATATATGTCGTATACTCTATATACATACATATATTTATATATAAATACATACACATACGATGATACTTTTAAGCACATGTGATTTTTGTCAGGGCAGGTACATATTTCATTGGCACACATGGTCATTACAGGATGAGAAGCTCAAAGACTTAGAGCCAGAGGGAACCTTGGAGACCTCTGAGTTTCCAGTCCATTCATTTTACTAATGAGGAAATTGAAGTGAAGAGGGGTTAGTGACTTGCCCTAGATCCCACAGCTAGTCAGTGTCTGAGGTGAGGTCTTCTTGACTCCAAATCCAGTGCTCCCTCCACTATTCCTTACTGCCTTTCTCTACCTCAGTAAATCATCCTTGTGAGTTGCTGTGGCTAAAAAGTTCATTATACACTTCACAGCCAACTTGACTTTCTTATCTTAGGTAGACTCATCCTCATGTAATTCCCTGCCTTCTGAGCCACTTCTGTTGCAAGAGTGGCCATAAAGACGTGAGATAATCCTAGAGTTCATCATTTTTGTGCATGGAAATTTGCTGTCAGGGATAGTTCTGGAGAAGTGGAGCAGGGATATATTCTGTTTGGGCATCATGGTCCATGGCCAGCCAGGACAATGGGCTGTGAGTTCTATTCCCATGCTATGCATGGCCCACACTGGGAATTTTTGTTGCTGACGATGGTGGTCCAGAGCGGAGAAGCAGTTTCTTTTCTGAGAGCTGATGAGTTGTGCGCCATCTCACACCTCTTCCTTGGCATCTGTTGCTAGGCACTGTTGGTCACTGCTTCCTATAACTCTCTCCCCTCCCCTCTCCACTTTTTATGCTTCCCCTTCGCTCCCAGCAGATGGTGGATACTCTTCATAGACTGATCAGTGATCCTCTGTAGCTTCACCTCCTAGGATTCCCTCTCAATGCAGCCCCATCTCCCATAGTTTAGTTGAGAGGAAAAGAAACTGAGATCCTTGTCATGTGTATACAGTTTGAAAGCAAGGGCTAAATTCTTGTAAACATTATTGGGTACACTTAAGTCCCATAACCCCTCTCCTGTCACAGAAAGAGTTCCTAAGGGCGTTATGGTGATATTATCCTTATTGTACTATTCTAATCAATCTATTTTCATATCAATGCCAACTTATGGAGTCAGTCTTGTTTGCCTACCCTCATCCCCACTGTTTGAGAAGTATCCCTCCTTCTTACGTCAACATTTCTCACCAAGTTTTGGAATTTGGAGGAGCAGTTTTCACTTTTAGTGGTTCCTAGAAAACTTTGGGTCGTCTTAGTTGGAGAAAACATAGGGATAAAGCAATAGTTCTATGCCATGAAACTGAGAATAGGTAATTGATCTTTCATTAGTTCAGGGGTCCACCATGGTAGTGTGACTTTCTTCTTAGTTAAATTCATTTGAAGTCCCCATCAGTCTGCTACAAGTATCAGGATTCATCCTGTGTTTTCATTGTTATAAGGAACTTCCAGGAAGTAACTTCCTTTTCTAGTGCAGGTATCATCTTCTCTGCAACTTAAGGTTTTGAAGACTTGCCCAGAATACCAAGGGGGTGAGTTGACTTGCCCAGAGTCACACAGAAAGTATATCAAAGGCAGGCAGGACTTGAACCCAAGTCTTCTTGGTTTGGAAGTCAGCTGTCTCTTCATTTTACCATGTTGCCTCACTATTATATACCCCAGGAACACTGTCTCCTCCTTGTCAAATGGATCTTTCTCCAATTAAGCAAATAGCCAGCACTGATGCAGGCATTAGAAGGTGGCCTAAACCAATTTCATATACTGAATGGGGTCTTGGAAGTAAATGAAGATAGAATCAAGATGAGAGGGCAGTCTGAGTCCAATCACGCTTAAAATACTGAGTTCACGAACATCTGGAAAACTGCAGATATTGTATGAAGCAGTCTCTCAAGTTCCTATTAGCTTATAAGCCTACATACTAGGCTCCTATTCATATAGGCCTGCTGGTTTGGGGAAGCCAGGTGGTGCAGTGGATAGAGTGCTGGGCCTAGAGTCAGGAAGACTACGCTTTATGAGTTCAAATCTAGCCTCAGATACTTACTAGCTATGTGACTCTAGAAGTCACTTAACCCTGTTTGCCTCAGTTTCCTCATCTGTAAAATGAGCTGGAGAAGGGAACGGCAAACCACTCTAATATCTTTGCCAAGAAAACCCAGATGTGGCCACAAAAGAGCTGGACACTACTGAACAAGAAAAGTACTGGTTTGGAAAACTGCCTTGCCTTTACCACTTCCCGTAACCAAAACAGGTCCCATGCTCTTTAAAATTAAGTTAGTAGCTTGCCTATGAAGTATGGCTTGAATCTTTATGGCTTACCTAGAATTATTTTTTCCATTCCAACAGCACTAAAAATATTCTTAAGGTCCAGATACTTGGCTCCAGGCCTGACTAGGAGCTACTGTTAAATAAGGCACATGCCTGTTCAGACTATTGTTTCAGCAATGCTGGTAGTAGAATTGGCCTCTTCCAAGAACAGCACAATGGTTGGATTATGAAGTGGCAGCCAATGGTTTCTAAGAATGAAGAGGGAGAAAGGGAAATGGGTTACTTTTGGAACAAATACTTTGTATTCATTCCTCATTTTGGCCCATGAGGGGTTAGTCTCCCACACAAGGCCCAAAGTAGACACCTATCTACTGCTTCAGCTATAAACTGGGAGGCACAAAGTTGTAGGAACATTTTCTCTTTCTCTGACAGTTCATGGGGCAAAGTGGCCTCTGAATCTGGCAACATAGATACCTGGAATACCCCCTATTTTGAATGTTTGATTCCAAGAATCAGGAATGAGTGGATTTGGGGCCATCTCTAGGGATTAGCTTGGCTGGGAATGGATGGGAAGGAGAGCATTAATGCCCTATTACTTGAACTGGCAGTTAAGCTGGTTCATAAATGGTCCCACCACATGGTGGTACTATGCATTATTACCTATATATCTTTAGGCAAATTCTTTCCCCTTTCTGGACCTTAGTTTCCTCTTCTGTTGAACAAGGGGTTTGACCTAGATGATGAAGTCTATAATCCTATGTCTGGTCTGATTCACACTATTTACCTTCTCTCCATCACGGATAAGATCATAGATTTAAAATTGAGAAGAACATTAGAGGTCATCAAGTCTAACTCCCTTCATTTCACAGCCAAGGAAACTGAGGCAAGAAACAATTAAGTGCTTTGCTCAGAGTTGTGTGTTTAATTGGTGTTCATTGTGTCCAACACTTCATGGCCCCATTTGGGGTTTTCTTGGCAAAGATACTGGAGTGCTTTGTCATTTCCTTCTCCAGCTCATTTTACAGATGAGGAAACTGAGGCAAACAGGGTTAAGTGAGTTGCCTGCCTCATTACCCAGATATTAAGTGCAGGCTTCAAAGCTAGGTCTTCCGGACTCCCAGGCTACTTCCCTATCCTATGAACCACCCAACTATCCTTGTCCCATCCAACTGGACAGTGGGCCTGTATTTTCTTCTAATTTAGGCAGCTAAGATGGCACAGTGGACAGACCTGCAGTTAGGAAGAGTTAAATTCATATCCTGCCTCCGACACTTACTAGTCGTGTGTCCCTAGGCAAGTCACTTAACCTCTGTTTACCTCAGTTTGCTCATCTGTAAAATGGGGATGTTAATAGCCTAGGGTTGTGCTTAAGAATTAATAGTCCTAGGGTTGTCTTTAATAGATAAAGGCTTCATTTCTCAAATACATGAGAACTGAGTCAAATTTATAAAAATACAAGTCATTCCCCAATTGATAAATAGTCAAAGGATATGAGCAGGCAGTTTTCAGACAAAGAAATCAAAGCTATCTATAGTCATATGAAAAAATGCTCTAAATCACTACTAATTAGAGAAATGCAAATTAAAACAACTCTGAGGTACTACATCACACCTATCAGATTGGCCAATATGACCAAAAAATATGATGAATATTGGAGTGGGTATGAGCAAACTGGGACACTAATGCGCTGTTGATGGAACTGTGAACTGATCCAACCATTCTGAAGACCAACTCGGAACTATGCCCAAAGGGCTACAAAACTGTGTATACCCTTTGATCCAGCAATACCACTGCTAGGTCCATATCCCAAAGATATTTTTTTTAAAGGGAAAAGGACTTATTTGTACAAAAATATTTATAGCAGTTATTTTGGTGGTAGCTAAGAATTAGAAATTGAAGGGATGCCCATCAATTGGGGAATGACTAGGCAAGCTGTAGTATATGATTATGATGTAGTATATGATTATTGTGCTATAAGAAATGACAAGCAGAATGATTTCAGAAAATTCTGGAAAGACTTATACGAACTGATGTAAAATGAAGTGAACAGAAGCAGAAGAATATTGTACACAGTAACAGCAATATTGTACGATGAAGAATTGTGAATGACTTAGTTATTCTCATCAATACAATGATCTAAGACAATCGCAAAGGACTCACGATGAAGCGTACTATCTGCCTCCAGAGAAAGAACTAATACTGTTTGAATACAGACTGAAGCACACTATTTCTCACTTTCTTTCATTCTTTTTCTTTTATTCAAGTCTTCATGTACAAAAAGATGAATATGGAAATTTTTTACATGATTGTACATGTATAACCTATATCTGATTGCTTACCATCTCAGGGAGGGGGGAAGGGGAAAGGGAGGGGGGTAGAGATAGAATTGGGAACTTAAAACTTTAAAAAAAATGTCAAAAATTGTTTTTTAACATGTAATTGGGGAAAAAGAAAATAAATTAAAAATGAAAAAACAAAAATAAAAATCTCTTGTTGTCCTTAGAATTCACGGCTAAGTTTAGCTTGTTCTGAGCCTTAGTCTAGGAAAATAATTATTACAGAACCATAAGAATTTTTTTGTTATTATTCTTGCAGGTATCAACTTTCTCTTTAGAATTTTAGGGTATAGGGTGCTAACAACTCTTTTGGTGAACTCTGACTTCTCTTTCAATCTCAAAATATAGGATATGCGTCAGTATATGCAAACTTTTCCCCTCTTTATCCTTGCCACTCCCTTTGTCCCCAACCAAGGGACCAAAGAAGAATACCAGAAAGGCAAATTACAGCGGTTCCTTATTGCAAGAAAAAAAAAATCAAAGTAACTCCACCTCACCAGTTAGTCATCACTAACACTCACAAAAGTATGGCACAATGGAAAAAACATGGGCTCTGAAGTCAGATGATCTAGGTTTAAATCTTGCTTCTGATATATACTACATACAGTGACCTTGGGCAGTGCTTTCTATTTCTAATGCTGTAATCCTATGACCCTACAGGTAATAGTGAGCAACTAGAAGTTATTGAGTAGATTAGTGATATGGTTAGACCTGTGCTGTAGGAAAATCACTTCGGTGGCCAAATGGAAAATGAACAGGGGAAAGACTTGAGATAGGAAAACCAAACAGGAATATATTGCAACAGGTCAGGTGAGAAGAGATGAGGGCCTGAAGAGGAGGGTGACCATGTGAGTGGAGAGAAGTGGATGAGGCAGATCTGAAAGGTGTTGTAGAAATAGAAAAGGGTTGGCAATAAACTGGATATGTGGGGTGACTGTCAAGGATGACACCAATGCTATTAATCTGGGTGACTGGAAGAATAATGGTGTGCCCTTGATAGTAAAAGGTGAGTTCAGAAGAAGGGTGAGTTTTCAAGGAAGCATAATGAGTTGATCAATAGGGAAATTTGTTTTGATTGACTATACATGTTTCTAAAGGGGTTTTCCTTTCATTCTCAAATGTGTGTGTGTGTGTGTGTGTGTGTGTGTGTGTGTGTGTGTGTATAGGGGGATTTGGAATAGGATGGTAAGAAGGCAGATTTTTGCTGATTGAAAAAATATATATATTTGTGTGTATAAATGTATACTATATGCATACATGCAAACATATGTGTATATATATATATATATATACACACACACACATGTATTTTTACACGTGTTATGTCAGTGCTTTTTTTGGGTATGTTGAGTCTGAGAAGCCTAGGAGACCATCAGTCTGAAATATCCAAGAGGCAATTGATGGTGTGAGACTAGAACTGAGGGGAGAGACTAGAGCTGGGTTTTTAGAGCTGACAGTCATCTGCACAAGAGATGATTATTGAACGCATGAAGCCAGATGTCACCAAACGAAAGAGTATAGAGAATTGTATTACCTGTACTTCAGGAACCCATGTTGTCTCTTAGAGATCATTGTTTCATTTTCTACGTCTTTGTGAAAAACATCCCTGACTGAGGTGAAGGGGAGGAGTCATCGGAGTTGCATTAGAAACAGCCAGGTCACTAGCGGTGGATGAAATCAAGCTGAGGACTACGCAAGGCATGAGCCAGAAGATCTCAACCTACGTTGTCATCAACTTAACATCGTATCCACATTAAAAAAGAGAGCTATGCTCTTCGTTACAATATCGCTGTTACTATGTTGTTCTAGTTTGGCACACTTCACTTTGCATCCACTCGTATGAGTCTTCCCAAGTTTTTTCTGAAATCAGCCACTTCATCCGAAGGAAATGCTTTGTAAACCTTTGTTAAAACCCATCACAATATGTCAATATGTTTTATTGTAGTCTCAGATAGGAGGGTTACTATGGCTTTTAGAATAACCTGATTTTGATTGTGTGATTTTTTTTTCATAGCTAGAGAAAAGAAAGCAGAGACTGAATTCTGAATGAATTGAGTAGAAATTGCAAATAGTAATTCTGAATGCTCACATCTGCAAGCCCTAACATAATGCTACTTCTGAAAGTAAGAGCACAGGCCAGTCAGCTGGGTGCTGCAATCTGGGAAATGCTTTAGCCATTTCTTGGCTGTCTATCTCCAGTTCCATTGATGGCAATTGATTGAATAAAAAAATGAAACTGATTACCTCCTCCTTTATGAATAGAGGCCATCCCTCTCAGTTCTATAGCTTTCCTCGTTCAGTTGGTAGAAAAATTAATGTGAAACCACAAGCAGGGAGACAGAAATCTTAAGTGACATCTGACTGACAAATCTTTTTGAATACAGTGGTGGAATCCAAAGCTTAGTGGTAGCCCTTGGGCATTTATGATACACTTCTGTTTCCTTAAAGAGGGTGGACAGTTGTGTGCCAGGGAAGCAGGAAGAGGGTGAAAAGAGCTCCTCATTTATGCATATGCAAAACTCTTTAGTATTTCATTTACACAAAATATTCAGGACTCCTGTGACCCTGGCTTGTGTTTTGGGACTTTTGCATCATTGGGAGTGTGTGAGTTTGTGGGGTCCATTCACCGTTTCAAAAGTCCTTCATCTTTACTCCACCTTCTAGCCAGACACTGCCCATGACCAGAGTCCATGCTTTTTAGAGGCCTTAAGCCTTTCAGCCAAAATCCTACCCTAGTTGGTGAGTGCCTCAGGCAGACCCCTGTATCTAGGCTGGCTCTGGCCATGCTTAACTTGCTAGTGAACTTCTAGTGAGTTGCTTTGCTGCCACAATGAAACCTCCAGCCTCCTTCTCTCCTCTACTTCTTTCCTGGAACTCCCCCGTCCCCTCCTCCTCTTCTCCCTTGTCAAAGTGGGAAGTCAGACCTTTACATCCAAAAGAATATAAATTTTGATTGCTTATACTTTGCAAGGTATCTTGGGGTTTGGCAACTAGATTTTTTTTGTCCTTCCCTACTTATTTATTCTATTTTTTTTAAACTGGGACAATTAATTCTCTGATCTCATGTAGTTTTCATTTATGATTTTTTGAAACATAGCTCTGGAAAACCAGGCTTTGATAAAGTCCATTGCAATTCAAATGGAGATACTTGACCATGCATTTAAACCTAAATCACTCTGGTTCTCACTGATTGGCCAATAATAGATCCCAGTCAAAGCCTCACTGGTTCATTATTCTCGTTTTGATGGCTCAGAGTGAGTGTGAATAGCAATTGTTTCTTTTCTGGCCAGAAATTCTGAGGATCTTCCTTTCCCAGATTGAGTCTTTTGTGAAGGCAAACTAGGCCATCTTTTGCCTCCATTCCTACCTAGCCTTTAATTACTGAACGGGCATTGCCTCAGACAAACCGAGTCCTGGGAAAGACTGAACTTAAAATAGCTAAGGTCTCCCACTGCACCTGGGGCCATCACCAGTTGACAGTTGTCCTGACCTACATCTTGCCACTGGACTCAGATGATTTTGGAGAAGAGAATGAGGCTGATGACTTTGCACAGCTCTGCCTCACTCAAATCCAATTCACTTGTAAGTCAAGACATCACCCTCCTGATGTCATTGGTCCTTTGTTCAAAGAAACAACAACAAACTTCCCTGGAACCATAATCAAGTCAGTGCTGCCATTGCTACTGGAAAGGGTGTGTCAATCTAGTGCTCCTGGTTTCCTTTAACATCCCTGAAACTTCCAAAACCGAGAGACTCCACCACTCCCTCATAAGTGTTGACTCCCCTGTTAGAATATAAGCTCCCAGAGGTCAGGTACCGTCTTTGCTTTTGACTTTGTATCTCCAGAAGTTAGGGATTTATTACTGACAGTAATAAAGCTCTACTAAGGGGCCACATTGAAACCTAGGGAGATAAGTTCCTCTCCTTTTATTTCTTTTTTCTATCACTCTTCCCTCCTGTGCCCTGAATCCCTTCACCAGCACCTCCCAGCTGCCCCAACTCTATGGTAGGGTTTTATCTCCTCAGGAAGGGTGGGGGAAAATGAGAAAGAAATGGGGTCATCAAGGAGAGATACAGGGGCAATTGGAGAGAATAATATGTTAATTGCCATTTATATGGCATTTTAAAGTTTGCAAAGTGCTTCATGGACTTTTTAAAAACTTAAGCCTTGCAAAAACCTTGAGAAGTGTGTTGGTACCAGAGGTACTATTGGTCCCGTTTTACAGACGAAGTAGGTGAGGTTCATTGAAGCTGCCCATGTTGACTTGCCCATGGTACACTGGGAAAAACACTCATATTTAGTGAAAACTTGGGAGAGGACATAATAACTATAACAAAGTATTTGAAAGACCATCATGTACAAGAAAGATTAGACTTATTCTGTGTGACTTTAAAGGGCAAAACTAGGAACAATAAGTAGAAATCACAGGGAGGCGAATTTTGGTTCAATATAAGGAGAATCTTTCTAACAATCAGAGCTGCCCTTACCTCCCCCCCCCCCAAGAAAGGTCGATTTCTGAAGTACCGAGTATTCATTAGAAGTATTCAAGCAGAAGCTACATGACCATCTGCCAGGAATGTGGTTGAAAGGATAATTGCATTGACTGGAAGGATGAATGCTAGGATTGCTGAGGTCCCTTACAACTCTTGGATTCTATGACGCCACAATAGCTTTCCTCTAAAACCTGAGTATTCACTTATGATAACATCTCTGAACCTCAGTTTCCTCATTTGCAAAATGAGAATACTATCCATCAGACAGATCAAATGAGATTAATGAATTAATCAATAAACAGTATGTACCTACTATGTGCTAAGTGCTGGAAGTATAGAAAGCACTTTGTCAACCTTAAAGCTTTATGTATTGGCTATTAATCAACATAGATCAACCCAGTGGAATAATGGATGGCTAGCTGAGTCAGGAAGACCTGAGTTCAAGTTTCACTTCTGACACATACTGTCCCTGGGATAAGTCATGTAACCCTCTCAGTATCTAAGACAACTCTCCAAGATTATACAAAAAAGGGCAGAAGCCAGTCTGCACTCATATACCAACTAAATCACCCCCAATTCCCCATACCAATTAAATCAGAGATTTAGCCCCACAAAAGGGGCCATCTCCAGTTGTCCTGTTCTATATTTGGCCACTGGACCCAGATGGCTCTGGAGGAGAAAGTGAGGCTGGTGACCTGGCACAGCCCTCCCTCACTGAAATCCAGTTCACTTGCAAGTCATAGAATCATCTTCCCGATATCATGGTCATTTTCAAGAACAATAAACAATAATAACAACACTAACTAGCCCCACAAAAGTTGAGAAATTTGGGTTAGAGTGGGACAAGATCACTCATCTCTTACCTTTGGTATTTCTTCAGGTACAAAATCCAGAAAATAAGCCAAAAGGTGCCTGTTTTTATACATCACAAAACAATCTTTTCTTAAGTCTCCCTTAGAGCTTTATCTTTCTTACAATTCTCTGTTCCACACTGGTTCACCATTATTCTGTAACTATGGCAAGTTTATTTATGGAGATGTCATATACTCTCTGCTAGACTGTGAGATCCTCATGGACAGCGGCCATATCTTAATGATTTTTTCATTTCCTTAAGTGACCAAAATAGTGCTCTGCACCGTGATCCTAAATCAATGGTTGTTGGATAAATGAATACATAAAAATAGGGATAGAATAAGGATAGAATCTACTATTTCATTACCCTAGGGAACCCTCAGATATGAAAACTCCCTTATAGCAATGCAGGTTGGCACATTTTCTGTTCAGGACAGCCCCTGGAGATCCTATCACAAATTCTTTTGCATTGGCAAACTGGGTCACTAAAAGGGGAGCTAGTACTTTTGCCCCTCAGGACTCTAGGAGTAATTCAGAGGAATTGGGAATGGTTTTCTGACACTATTATTCATTGAATTATCCGTAGTGGACAGCCTCCACAAGTATGCTTTCTCCAATGATTATCCATTGATAATAAGCTAGACTGGCAGACAATTAGCTTTTATAAACAACTATTTACTAAGGTGGCATAGTAAGAATAGCTAGTATAAAACATTTCCCCACACTAAGGACATACTCCCCCATAAGTACATACAAAGTCTAAGGGGAAGCAAGATCGAGATTAGAATACATGTGGCAAAAGGGAAGTCTTTTCTGTCACCTTCATGAAAGGGGTAGCTTTCTACTAAGCTCCTGGGATGCATAACAAGTTTGAGAGACATAATTTCTGGGTAATTAACCATTTTATTAATTATGCTAGCAGATAATTAATAAAAGGAGTCAGTGGCACTCTTGAATGCCATGTGCCCCTTATGGAACCCACTCAAGCTTGATCATCTCCAGTTGTCCTGATCTATATCTTGCCACTGCACCCAGGCTCCAGAGGAGAAAGTGAGGCTGGGGACCTTGCACAGCCCTCCCTCACTTAAATCCAATTCACTAGCAAGTCATGGAATCATCTTCCCAATGTTATGGTCCTCTTCAAGAACTAAAATCAAATAACAACCCACTCAATGCTTATATACCCTCAATACTAATAAGAAGAATGAATATTATAATGAAAGGTGGACCTGTTTAATGAGGGGCTGGGGGTTGTGACTCTGATCACTCTTGCTTCCACTCCTTGCTGGACCATCTAGACAAAGGATCTAACCTCCCCCCCCACCTCTCCACCCTTAGGACACAATGGGCTTTCCCACTTGGGTGGGGTCTGACCAAGATTGAAGAGAAAGTTAGTCCAATCTCATTATCAGCAATGTCCTTCAGATGCTGGCTTGATCTAGTAGAGAATATGGAATTAGGAAGGGAAAAAAACCCTGTATCTCCCCAATAATTGGTTATGTAATAATAATATTTCTTAGTCCTACATCTGAATTACTTCAGTGTTTCTATTTAGCCTTCAACTCTTGATTAAGACAATGCCATTGACTCTTCCTAGCACACTGCTTGGATGTCCATGGGAAGTCCATGTTTTCCAGATTTTTTTGAATATGAAACATATTCTGGTCAAGGTGGTAGGGATAGGTGGCTAGGGGTGGAGGGGAATGGAGACAGAGGCTCTTGTCCTTCCCCCGTCCTGGCAAGTTATTCCATCCCAGGGATTTATCTGTAACAGGTTCCACCACCAGGCACTTGATTCCTGGTTTCTAAATTAACTTACTCTTTCATTCCAAACCCAAAGGCTATGACTCAGTTTCTTCAGTCAATCTCAATACACTTCTGGTGTAGAATCATTTCATTGCATCCAGTGTTTGAAGGCAATGTTTTCTGACTGGATTAATTAAGTTGTTTGCCCTTAGTTCAATGCCCTTCATTTATTGATTAAACAGAGTGTTATCACCCCCAATAAAGGTATCAAAGCTAGAGTATTTTGTTAGATACTTTAAAGGCTAGAGGATTTCATTCATTAATTTAAATGGGATTTGAGGTGATTAATTCAATGATCTCCCTTCCCACCCCTACTCTGATACCTGTAACTTATAGTCTTAAAGAATTGCTTATAGCAACAAGAGGCTGAATGATTAACCTAGGATCATATAGCCTATATGTATCACAGGTGAGATTTGAACCCAGGTCTTCCTGGCTCTCTATTCACTATGTTCATAGATTAATCTGGCTCAATATAGGAAACTTTACCTGGCCTGGACATGGAAATGACTGAGAAATTGACAGAGCATTCTTAATTCTGTGGGTCGTGGTGCATGGCTGTCGGTGGATCAATTTGCCTGGTTAATTCAGAATTAATAAATAATAGCTTATATTTATAGTTCATAAAACAGTTTTCATTGCTTTCATGTGAGCCTTACAATAAGTCTGTGATGCAGGTGATGCTAGAATTCAAACCCTAGATTCTTGTATCCTAGATACTAGATTATCAGTCAGCTGCTATAAGTTGATAGGCTTACATAAAAAAAAGAAAAAAGTCATTAACTTTTTCTATTTTCCATTCACCTCCAAGACCTCTCCTAATCCAGCAGTAATAATGCTTTATGATTTTTTATAGTATTTGACAGCTTACAAATGCTTTTCACATCATTATCTCAATAGTTGCTAGACTAGCTCCTCATGCATTCTTTTTGAGTTTTAATTAAAAAATGTCTCACTAATTTGATTTCTACGTACAGTTGTTTCCCCTCTCACTCCCCTTTTTGACTTTACAGAATCCCTTAGGCTTTTGTCCTGTTGTCCATGCTGGACCTACTAAGTGGCTCCCCTCTAGAATGCTCCTTTGAAGTGATGATTCCAGTAGCTTCCAAGGGGGCCAGAAGGGGAAAAAAATACAAACACAAAAATAGTTTATAGTAGTTTAGAACAGGAAGAAAGAAAGAAAGAAAGAGAGAGAGAGAGAGAGAGAGAGAGAGAGAGAGAGAGAGAGAGAGAGAGGGAGAGGAAGGAAGGAAGGAAGGAAGGAAGGAAGGAAGGAAGGAAGGAAGGAAGGAAGGAAGGAAGAAAAAAAGAAAGAAAGAAAGAAAGAAAAAGAAAGAAAAAAGAAAGAAAAAAGAAGGAAGGAAAGAAAAAGAAAGAAAGCAGGAAAGGAAGGAGGGAGGGAAGGAAGGAGGGAGGGAAGGAGGGAAAGAGGGAAGGAGAGAAGGAAGGAAGGATGAGGAACATTTATTTTGTGCTAAGTTCTGTGGTGAGTGCTAGGGAACAGAACAGTTAGTCAAGCGGGGGTTGCCAAACTTGTTTGTGTACCCCATTTGTAAAAATGTTTGTGCCAATAATCCCAATGTGTGTATTACTTGTTTGTAAATTATATTTATATGCTAGTATCCTAATAATTATGGGCATTGTAAAACTTGTACAAAAATAGAAATTTAAAAACAATGAAATAAAGATGAAATAATATCTGATCAGAGAGTGAATAGGAAGCCACTGGAGTTTTGCTGAGTAGGGGAGTGATGTGGTCAAATCTTTGCTTCTGGCAAATAATTTTACAGATGTGTAAGAGGATGACTTGGAGAGGAGAGAGAATTGAGGAGACTGTTGCAGTGGGCTGAGTAATAGGTGATGAGGCACTGAACTGGGGGGGTGTAAGACGGGAGAAGGGGGAAGAAACAAAAGATGGGCAGAGACAGTGAGATGTGACAACTCATTGAACACGTGGGGTGTTTGGAAGAATGAAGATTCAAGAATCACACTAAGGTTGCAAGCCTGTGGATAGTGGTGCCTTCAGCTGAAACAGGAAGTTTTAGAAGAGGAAAGATAATCACAACACACCCAAGCCTGCTCATCCTGTGTTGTTCACTTTTTCCCACTGGAAAAAAAAAGTAATTGGTGGTTGCTTATTATGCTTATAATACCTAGTAAGATACTGCATGTCTTAGAAGCAATGTAAAGAGGCTGTATTAGTTCCAGGTTACAGTCAGCAAAACTGCTGTCCATACCACTGCCCAGCCGGCTGCTTCTGGAGCCTGAGCTGTTCTGCTGTCACTGGGTTCCATCATGCTGCTCCCTGTGCTGAGGCCTGCCAGTGCCCTCCAGTGCCAGGCTTATCATTGTCCTTCATCCTGGGGCTGTGCCTTGTAGGCACATTGATGAGGTCAAAATTAGGCATGTGGGATGGCTCAGGCAACTCTAAGGAGCTCTTGGAAAGGCTTAGGCTCTTCCTCTCAGTGTGTTGAGGTTTAGGGGTTCAGGGATGCTGGGACCCCAAAATCACAACACATGGGTCCTTGCCTAAAAGAATTCGACTTAAGCCTTCTTTCAGCCAAAGACAAGGTTTATTAGAACATCTGTCATATTGGGCATACTCTTAAGGAGTCTGAACATTAGTGAGCTATTGGCTAGATTGTAAGAATCTGAGCACCTTAATGGAGACAAGATGGACCTTATATACAGAAAGATTATGGGAGAGATATTGGAATGGCCAAGTAGTCTGCTGGGGACTGTGAGGTAATAGAATGCCAGGGACCTGGACCACATGGCCAAGGGAGAATGGAGCTTAGATAGAATTAAGGGTGCGAAGTGGACATAGGGGGTAAGACAATGGAGGGCTAGGCTAGGTTAAGGGTAACAGGTAACAGAGAATTGGAAGATTGGGCATAGCCACAAAGAAAAACCAGTTGATGGGATTATAGCCTCAGGGGAACACCAGAGATTTGGCCGGTCTGGGAAAGTCCAGGGTTTTTTCCTTTTGGGGTCTAGATCCCATCCTCATCAAGTGAACAACCTATCTGATACATAGAATTCTTCCTGTCAGTCTGTTTTGACTAAGGGGGTCCCAGGAGCTCTAATTCTCAAACTTATAAGGCTGCTACAAGGCTAGGAATGTCCATATCAGGATTGCTTACTTGCCCTCAGGGAAAAAAACCCAACAAAAGATGTGGTCAGAGACTCCCCTGGGTCAGTACATGTGCTCTAGCTACCATTTGCAAACAGTCACTGTTTCTGCCAGGATAGGGCAGGGCACCTGGGACCTAACCT